AAACTCGACTTGAACAAGAACGACACACTCAACAGTTTCGGTTGGAACCACGAGGGTAACCTGCACGCTGAGGAGTGGGGTTTCTCCGACATGGTCAACTGTGTCGGTGTATTCGAGTCGTATTTCCTGACTGAAGCGTACCCGAACGGCTCCTACATTGAGCCGTACACGGACTACTTACTGGAACACAACGCCACGGACGTTTTCCTAAATGACACTCGTTCTCGTACGGATGGAGGCAACACCAAGATCGGAGACCCTCGATTCTACAAGGACGCGTATCCGAATCCGCTACCCGATGATCTCTACAATGACAACTGGGTGGCGGACCAAGCACTTCGACTTCTTAGCGAGAAACCCAATGATAAGGAGTGGTTCATGATCGTGAACTGGAACGGACCGCACTACCCGATGAGTATTACTGAGAGTATGTACGGCCGTATACAGAACCGTAGTTTTCCTCAACCAGTTGACTACACCGGCAACTTTACAGCTGAGATGCACAACCGTACGCGAGCTGACTATGCTGCTATGATTGAAAACATCGACGCGCATATTGGTCGCATCCTTGCTGCTGTGAATCTGAGTGATACTCTTGTGGTATTTGCGAGTGATCACGGCGAGATGCTCGGTGATCGTGGCCTATGGGCAAAGGATGTTCCGTTCCAGCCGTCGGTGAACGTCCCTCTCGTTATTGCTGGCGATGTGGTGAACGAGTCACTACGCGGAACGTCTACAGATGCTGGTGTATCGCTTATTGATCTGGCGCGTACTTTTCTAGATGTTGGAGAGGTGCAGACCGTCCCTGCTCAAATGTCGGAGGCCTATTCCTTCCGACCACTTCTTGAGGGAGAGCCTCACAAGAAACGTGTGCTACGTTCGGCGCTAGGTACGTGGAAGCTCTGGTTTGACGGTCGCTACAAATGCGTGATCGGCTATAGCGACGATGAGCCAATGCTGTTTGATGTGGAGACGGACCCGCACGAACGTACGAACCTTTTGTTGTCTACCAACACCACAGAGCTTGCGCACTACGCATCCATTATCCAGTGGCTCCTGGGTAAGGGTAAAGTTGTGCAGTAAACCCCGTCGACTATAAATCGCTTAGCACTGAGTTTTTGGTCAATATATATGAGGGGGGGGGCTTCTAAAATACAATTTACTCTGTAACTTAACTCAAGCTTTCATTTACTCGTAAGTGTCCAGTTCACACCACGGTGTCGCGATTTTTGCGACAAAATGGAACGAGATTTCCCATCCTAGCCAGCGATTCCATTCAAATATGGGAGGTGAGTGGCTCACCAAGCTAGCAGAGACTGAACACAAGTGCGGTACCGGCAATTGCGGAGTCCAAGGCTTCGACATGGCAGACTTCATGGCGTGGATAGGCTAGTTGATGACCAATTAACTTCCTTCAAGACTTCGTCTTGATCGTTAACAGACCCGTACGAGTAGTACTCTGTTGTAAGTGGCTAAGACCATGCCAGTTGAGACCATCCCAACAGTCTGAGCTTTTCCAACACCGTACATGTACGTGTAGCCTACATGATGTAGTTTATATGTACACTGTACACAATACTTTGACGTACCTTTAGCTGCCACACACATGTATCTGAGCGACGTACGCTTACGCAAATGATTGCATGTTTCTAAAGACCCACACATAGTTTGTTTGTTTATATTTTTTGTGAGATATGGCTTGTATCGATTGTCCATGTTGATCACATTACTCTACGCTTGTTCATTTAACGTCTCATAGTCTTTGTGAATGACGTCAAGTTTTCCAGCACGCGGACTTACCAATCATTTGCTCTGTTTGGCGTTTCACTGGGCATTCATCCAACTTATTTAACGTACTGTCGTCCAACTTGGTCCCTGTAGCATGGCTATCAATCGGCTTCACGACTGACCCGTTGTACACTCCAGTCCATGCAACCTGCCTGTTGAATCGTAGAAAAACTACTCTGCTTCCAGGCGGCAACGGGATCCCATTCTAACTTTTGCATCCTCGAGGTCAAGTCACCAACACTTCCACTTTAACTGCACTCTCATGGATCCAATCATTCGTTGGATTCAATCAACGCCCGACCAACGAGCGGTTCATTGCACTAAAAAGACCCCAATTGAGCTAGTTCAGCACCACGCCCCCATTCTACGACGGCTACCCCACTACAAGATCAGTCAAGATCTCAAGTTCGACATTGTTGCCGGTATTACCGTTGCCATGACACTGGTCCCTCAAGAAGTCTCGCTCTCCACCATCATGCACGTTCCGGCTCACCACGGACTGTACACGGCTGCTACATCGCCACTTATCTACGCTCTGTTCGAGTCCAGCACCGTGTTATCTGTAGCCAGTGGGTCTGAAGTCGCACTACTCACCGGATCCATCCTCGAACCAATTGAGGACGAGAAGGAACGTATTGCCACCGGTATCATGATTGCCTTCCTGAGCGGTACTATCCTACTGCTCGTGCGCATCTTCAACCTCAGTCCAGTCGCAGACTTCTTCTCACGTCCCGTTATGGGCGGATTCATCTCGGCTGGGTGACTATTGATCATGCTTTCGCAGTTTCAGAACGTACTGGGTGTCAAGTTTGAGTCGCACGACAACCCGGTACAGACACTTTACCAGAATCTGAAGAACATCGGTCACTCTAACAAGAACGCTCTTGCGGTCGGTCTCATCTCGATCGCTTACCTCATTACGATCAAATTGATCAAGAAGCGCTTCTTTCCTTCGCCTGTGCTTTCGAAGACCCAGGAAAAAAAAACCACGGCGGCTCAGCAACCAGTAGGCACCAATTTTACGGACAGCCATGGCTTCTCTATCACTGACGAGCAGTATGTTAGTCTGCCTTCGACTCGCGCTCAGACCGATGAAAATCGGCCTAAGGCGCTCAACCGCAAGTCTATCGACGACTCAGTCAAGTCCAAAGTGGTGTTGATCGCTATATTTCTTTGCTCGTATATTGTGCGATCTAGGACCTCTCGTCGTTTGCATCTTTGGTTTCATCGTTGGATACATTCTTGGTCCCAAGGCACTTAAACTCACCGGTACTGTGCCTGGTGGGTTCCTGAGCCTCTCGAACCGTGGTACGGCTTCGACGATGGGCTTATTGGCGGAGGACGCTTCGGTACTATTCTCCTCAACTCGTTTACGGTTGTGCTGGTTGTGTCCCTCTCAAGTATCGCTATGTCCAAGCGCCTCGCCATTCAACGTGGAGAAGATATCGACACCGCACAGGAACTCACAGGTATCGGTATTGCCAGTGTGGTCTGCGGATTCTTCCAAGCTATGCCTCCTGCGGGCAGAATGTCACGCACTGCAGTGAACATGCAGCACGGGCATACACAGCTCGCCTCTATCATTACTACACTTATCGTGGTTCTCTCGCTTTACACTCTAATTGGTACGCTGTACTACCTGCCACGAGCGACGCTAGCCTCTATCATCATCGTCGCTGGATATACCCTCGTCGAGTTCAATGAAGCCAAGCGGCTATACCGTGTCAAACGCGATGAGTTCTTTGTCTGGTCCGCTTCCTTCATCCTGACTCTGGGATTAGGTAGGCGTACTCGAAGGTTTGATCGCTTCCATTATCTGCTCTGTGCTCGCTCTAATGATCAAGACGAAGCGCACTCCCGTTGTAGTTCTGGGCGAGCTGGACAACGGTACCCTCGTCGACCGGGACTTATTCCCAAACGCTCAAGATTTGAACGACATTATCGTGATTCGCGTCGAGAGTTCACTGTATTTTGCTAACTGCGAGCGTGTGGCGCTAGCGATTGAGAAAAAAATGCTTACGAAGGGTATCACCACGCAAGGCGTCGTATTCGACGCGTATCACATGCACGACTTGGATGCAACTACGATTCAAGTGTTGTCAGATATACAGGAGAAGCTTGCGGGGCGCAAGGTGCGTTTTGCGATTGCAAACGCTAATGGAAGAATTCATGATATTTTGGTGACCACCAATCGGTGGAAGATGCAGTCCGTCTGCTTCACCAACTGACGGCGTCTGGCAGCACGTCACCGCTGTCGCTGGCGAGTACCAATATTCCTTTGTAAGGAATATTCGCCAACATGCTGCAGGCGGTGCAGCACATGTAGGTTTTCCACTTCGATAATCTTTTCATCAATTCCATTCTCTCATTACGGCGAACATGTAACAGCGTAAAAAGGAGATAATTTGGTAATGTAATCGTAAAAAAAGAAAGAAGCTATTTTCGCGTGTAGGTGTACTCGACAGGGGACATGTTCGCATTCTTTTGCGACAATCCATTCTAGAGCATATTTTGCCAAAAAGCTTTTTGGGTTTGGAATTTGAACAAAAATGCCCAAAACCGGTGCAACAAAGTGGATCTCTCTAATCTTATACTAGCTGGAGGTTGATCGACAAGCCGATTTGTCCTCACTAAGGGCTCCTCAGTGAATAACACGAATATACATGCAATAAAAGCGAATGAGAGCTTCACATTCGTCTTCATTTGAGCTACTAATTGCAAGCGCCACGATTTTCAAACATAATTTTCCAAATTGTTTTGAAGCGGAATTATAATATTTGTTCCTTTTGCATACTGTTTCATACAAACGTTACTCACGCAGTGACATCGGCGGGTCCTCCTTGAAATTGGCCAATCAGTAACCCAGGGTAAGGTTTTCACAAATTTCGGTCGTCTTTTACGGTCAGACCTGCTCTTCCATATAAAAGGGTGCTATCAGATATCTATCAATAAATCAAGTGATAGAATCAATACCAAGATGCTGCTGTTATATACACATACCCTGTCATAAGCGATGAATATAGAAGTCGGCTTACGCTCCAGAACTTAGGGATAACTCACTTTCGCCAGAAACTCCCTCATTTCAGACTGTAACCTCTTCGGGATGCCGACGCTTACGGTATCGCTGCAGGAGGAGAAGAACCCTCCTGTAAGCCTACCAGCATCCGTACCACCCACTGGGCTCAGTTCTGTGAAGACTAAGGGCAAACGAGTATCAAAAAGCAGCACTAACGTCTCCAACCAAGACGAGCAGAAGCCCCAACCAAAGAAACGCGGACGTCGTCGACTCCTGGAGGATGAGGAGCAGCGCAAGGCGAGACGCAAAGCCCAATGCAAACTCAACCAGCGTCGATATCGCGCGCGACAGCGTGGACTCATCAGTACGCTGTCTCTTGAGACAGAAGGACTTAACGGTCATCTCCGAGACCTGCAAGACTATCGGGACTTTTTGAGAGGCTATTTCTTACTCGACGCACAGCCTCTAACGACCTGGGACGACCCCAGACCAGTGCTCATAGCAAAACACTTTATACGAGCCTTTCGATCGGGTTTTGCACTGCATTCGACAGAGTCTAGCGCTCTACAGGAAAGTTTTGTGAGACTGGTGTGTGCTCCAGACATGATAACACAAGGAGCCACGACGGACGGGATTGAGGCTCTATTGCTACAATTGAAGCGCTATACGTCGTACCATGGCACATTTGAAGTGCTGCCATCGAATGTCACGGTTGTTCACGCCCCGACGCAGGAGATGGGTACACAGATGACAGACGACAAACTCACTTGGGTGTTGGAAGCTAGAGGAGCCGTCAGTATGCGGATCTCGCGAGACACACTGATCATGGTGTACCCGCATGTGCTACGACATCATGACCGCATAGCTCAGCGTATCGTGGGGCAGACGATCGAGCCGGAATTCACCGCGACGTTCCATTTTGATGCAAATGCTAAAGTGACCAAATTGGACCAACATATCGACTTTGTTGGCGCTTTTTTCCGGATACTTGAGAACGCGGAAGATGTGGCCACGCTTCTTGAAGGAGCGCTTATTTCTCCCTTCTCAGAGCTGGGATTAGACCCGCAAGGCAGCACGGAATCCGCTCTCACGCGCGGTAGCAAACAGCTCAGCTTGAAGTTCATCCTTCTATAACTTGGTAAAACAAAAAACGTAATACCCGAAAGTACTGCTTATGCTGTAGGATTCAGTATAATGCGGAAAGTTAGTGCGTGTGACGGGAAAAGCCCGATAATTAATCAATTCCGCCGTATTCTTGAAACATGACTGGTGTAAAGATCAGTGCATTGCAAGTATACACCAACGTGCGTCTACTTCGGGACTTATCGAATAGTGCCAAGGGAAGAAGCTCGGCGGCAAGACAACAAAGCTACTGTAGCTTACTCCTTCTTGTAGTAGTTGGCTGGCACAAAGGGCATCTTGGTGATGACAGCCTTCTGCGTTTTCTTACGGGCCTTCACGTGCAGCTCCGTGCCGATCTTGCCCAAGCTCTTGTTGACGTAAGCCATACCAATAGCCTGCTTGAGAGAGGGACTAAAGGTACCGCTGGTCACGTGACCCACGACGTTGTCGTCGGCGTCAAAGAGCTCCGCGCCCTCACGCGCGGCCGCTCCGTCCACCACAAAGCCCACACGCTTCTGAGTGGCCGTCTTGTTCTTCAATTGGTCCATAATGATACCGTGGCCAGGGAAGCCTCCCTCCTCGCGACGACGCTTGCCAATAGTCCATGCGAGTGTGGCCTCAATGGGCGTGATCTTGTCCGTAATATCGTGACCGTGCAGACACAGACCGGCCTCGAGACGCAGACTGTCCCGAGCTCCAAGACCGGCTTCCAATACGCGCTCGTCATCGAGCAGCGCACGCGCAAAAGTCTCGGCGTCCTTACTGAGCACGGAGATCTCGAAGCCATCCTCACCAGTGTAGCCACAACGGGTGAGGATGACGTCCAGTTGCTTGCCGTCCTTGAGCTTCAAGGGTGTGAACACGCCGTGCATGAACTCAAGGTCTTTTAGGTTTACATTAGGGTTTAGCGTCTCCACCACGTCCGCGGCGCCAGGGCCCTGCAGTGCCACGAGCGCGCGGTCCTGGATACGCTCAATGGCGGCGTCGCCCTTGAAGCCCTCGAGCAGCTTGTGCATGTGAACCAGGTCCACATCCTGGTTACCAGCGTTCACCACCACATACAGGTGGTCGTCGTAGCGGGAGACCACGCAGTCGTCGATAATCCCGCCCTGATCGTTGGTGATGAGACTGAGCTTGGCCTCGCCGCTGCCCAGAGCCTGTAGGTCGCCCACCACGACGCTCTCGAGGAACTGCAAGCGGTCCTTGCCCGTGATGCGCAGCTGGCCCATGTGCGAGACGTCGAAGAGCGACGCCTTGTCCTGCTCGCGCGTGTGCAGGTGCGACTGCAACACGCCGGCCTTGTACTGCACAGGCATCGAGTAGCCAGCGAACGGCACCATCTTGCCGCCTAGAGACACATGCAGGTCATAGAGCGGCGTCTTCTTGAGCGACGCAGCGGCGGACGAGAAGCAGCGGATGGCGGACGGACGCATGGTGAGCGGACGAAGGCGGATGAAGGAGTGGAGCTGCTCAGCGTTTAGATCGGGCCTAAATGTGTGTCTAAACACGTTGGATTGGATGCCACATAATCATTTCAACCAATAGAAATCAATGAAGAGACGCCCTACTTGATGTGCAACAAAGCAGAAAACAGACATCAGACGAATAAAGATGGCTACAGATCTTGTTCAAGATGGCTATATCATGGTGCATTTCTACTTGAGACTCTTAGCCTTACGGATAATCTGATCCACAAGCACCCAGTCGGCCTTTTCCATGCGTGCTACAATGTCAATGATAGAGCGGAAGCGTGACTCCCCAGTCTTCAACACAGTGCTCACAATAACCCATTCTCGTCGGTTCTGCTCACGGTATTCCGGGTAGTCCGCCAGCAGCCTCTCGTATGTCTCCCACTCCAACACGTAGAGCAGCGAAACACCCAATGACGAGCACGTAGCAGACCGAGGAATGCCATACAATAGCGACAATTCGCCGAAAAAATCTCCTTCTTGCTTAACCAGTTCAAACCCGGGGCCTTGGACGAGTATTTTACCTTTCGCGATAAAATACATGCTTCGATCGACATCACCTTTACGTACCACCGCTTCAGATGACGAGCAGATAATGTGTTTTAAACACGTCAACAAGGAACGCAAGAAGCTCTCGTCACAGCTCTTGAGAATGGATACACGATTGGCAAAACTTCGAAGAGTATACTGAGCGATATCCTCGACCAGCAGCGTCGAAAGGCCCCGTACACCTTCTAAATCGTCGTGGCCGTGGTATTTTAGCCATGTATTCGTATAGTAGAGCCGTAATCGCTGTCGAACGTCACGTGGCACGTCGTTATTCTTTAAGAAATGATACAGTTCCATCAAATTCTGTTCGAACAGCATCTTGTGCTTGTAGTTGGCTTCAATCATCTCGCCTTGCGCTCCAACCAACACACCGAAGATCAAGATACACACGACGATAAAGGCGATTTCGACTACTGTTTCAATCGCATTCATACTCACGACATCGCCGTAAAAAACAGTAGTAATCGAGCCGATAGCGAAGTGCAGAGAGCGAAGATATCGTCGAGAAGTGGGGATCTCACTAAGCTCCCCGAAGTAATCTACGGCCAACATCTTATAGGTGGAAAGCCAGGAATCTCCGTAGAAATGATACGCATGTAAACCCAATCGAAACCATAAACAACCGATCCAATGCCCTGAAAGAAGGTACACACAAACTGTTCGGATAAAGTGCAATCGACTCTCACCTATCGGTAAATTCAGATCCACAGCCAGGAATTGAGTTAATCTTTCGCTCGCTTCAATAGATTCCAAAATGCGCGGTATTTTATTCAGTTGAAACAGCGATAGATAGAACCAGCGATGATCCGTCATAGACGACTTCGACAGTGGCGGAATATACAGCAATATATCGAAGGGTAAAGAAGTCATGATATCGAGCCATAAGTGGGTATTCACATGCTGTTTCCACCAACTCTTTCGTTTCTGTATCGTTGGTAGCGGTGCAGTTGATACCAACGATTTTGTACTACGCATCGACGTCAATGGAGGTGGAGCCAAAGGTTGTGGGGCAGCTGTAGGAACGTCCGTACTGCCTCCGTCACTGAGCGCAAGGACCCGTCGGAAGGCCGAATGCTTGAGTAAGAAGTCTGCTATGCAGACTAAATCGACACAAATTACAATACGTTCCCAATGTGCCAATGCAATCTCGTCTTCGTGGTCTTCATGGAACGTCTCAAGGTCCGACGCGAAGCACACAAAGAATGGGATCGTCACGGCGTAGAAAAGTCCAACAAAAACCACCACCCACTCCCACAGTCGATAGCATCGAGACAAAAGGTTCACGAAGTCTTCAGCTTTACTTGACGTGCTTCTATCGGGCAGCGAAGACGTCGACGCGGTTCTGTCATGCCCAGAGTCGAAAAATGACATTGTTCGAGAATTTTCGCTGGCTGAGCTAGACGATGAAAAACTACGCAGCCAGGTGAATCGCTCAGTTTGCTGGCTGTACCATTGACTCCAGCGCTTTTCATGCTTCAGCCACGTTAAATAAATTCGAAAAAGGGACGAAAATTCAGGTTGTCGGCATCTCTGGAGCAACTCGAAGCCCAGATTTAACTTACTTTCCGACTCCTTAGCGTTCGAATCTTGCAGTTCTTCTCGGATCATATGAGCGAAATGGCGATCAAAAAGAGGAAGAGACTGGCTTCGCTTCAGCTTGCGCTGTCGACGATGCGCTCGTGCGGCTCCAGAGGGTAAATTTGTGATCCCAAAAGACTGGTGCAATTCGTGTCCGTGGATGCTGCCTCTAGGACGACGTTTTCTACTCAGACCACGTTCACTGGGACGATTTCGGGACTCGTAGTTCTCAAGGAAGCGCATACCGTCGGTAGTTACTAAGGTGCGTGTGGCACGTTGAGGACTCGCACCGGGTAGCATTGCACCACAGAAAGTTTTGCGGGATACTCGAATTTTTGTTTCCGCTTTGGAAGCTGTTGGCGTGCTGTCTTCCTCGTTTCTTGATGTATTTTGCGAAAGTATTATGTTTGCTTGAGGTTGAGGCTGTACTAGTAGCTGCGGAGATACAGGTGTTACTGCTGGGGATTGTTTGATTACTTCGCCTGTAAACGCGTCAGCCATGAACAGCGAGACTTTATAGCGACGCCAACACTCCTCTTCCATCTCGACAAGTTGTTCGTCTCGATAATATTCGCGCATACTGCGACTCACGGGGTTGATTTGCACTGCCGTTCCGTTCTTAAAAGACTTCATTTTATGAAGAGAGAGCCCGGAAGTGGTGTTTCTGGGCGTGTGCCATGCAAAGAGACGACGGGTACCACTCGTAGATGTGGTGACGGGCTCATTTCGAGCATCGAAGTCTGAGTTATCAGCGTACACTCGTCCGAGTTTGGCTGCTTTCCGTCCACTTGGAAGGATATTGTCTCGTACCCAGCGGAAAACTATTGTCAAGATACTTGGGGCAGCAAACTCGGCTTTGTTTTTACCACCATATCCTGCTGTTTTTCGTAATAATTGACGCACTTTTCTCTCTTCAAGTGTTGTCGCTGATACATATCTGAGTGGATCTATCACTGGAGCGTTATCTGTATCATGCATCTTCATCGCGTTGAGTTCTCGAAGTTCCTCAATATTTTTGGGTGTCTTGGAAGTTCCAGTATCCCCAGATTTAATATCTTTCACAATTTCCACTGTCATGATGTTGTATCCTTTAAGACAGTACTGTACCCATTGGATCAGTGCCCGCTCGGTGCTTTCAGCTTCTTCGCGAGCACTTGAAGCCAGTAATTCTTCCCATGAACGACGTCCTAATACCAGTAATTCACTGCAAGTGGTTGCTTGTACCGACGCAATTCGTCGCTGTCCCCGAAGAAAAAAAGCCACTTCTCCAAATAAACTACCGGCAGTAAGAGTGGCTACGGCTGTACCAGTGGATTTCCACAGTACCATCCCCGTTCCACCTTTGACAATGTACAATTTGTGTCCTAAATCCCCCTCGACGATAATTGTATCCCCGGGAATGTAAAGCTCTGATTTAAGTCGCATGGCCAGTCCATTAATCTGGGTTTGATTCAGAAATGGGGCGATACAAAGATTCTGTAAAGTAGTTCCATGGAGATCCATCATCAATTGTACACGTAAATTTGGCGATAAATCACTGAAAGTGGCGTAGATATCCATACCCTTGAGATAATGATGTTGAAACTTGAGGTAATGTTGCACACGGGTGCAAATACTGGACGGTAAATCGTGGTCTTTAGCGAATTGGTCGAAATGGGACTCACGTTCTTTAAGTTCCTTTTTAGTTGCATCCATCTCCAAAATAAGTTCTGAGAGTTCTCCCACGATATGACCCACAATGAACGCGCAACACAGACACGTGAATGTAGCCCAGATCGTTCCAGGCAATCCTAGTGGCACAATCTCTCTTGACCCTACAAGTGTCAACTACAAATATCACAATAGGCGTAAGTAATTTAAATGTACACAAATAATAAATACCTTACTGTTGTCAATGCCCAGTAGAAAGCACGAAGATAAAGCACACCAGTCGATTCATGCTCCATAACCACGATCGGGTCGTGGTGCGTCCAGTTCTTGTGGTTATGATCGGTATGACAGATGAGGTAAAACACACAAGCAGCCAGATGGCCCGTGAAGAGTAAAATAAGCACGAGTTTGATAGGACTCAAATACGCTGAAATATTCCCTCCAGCTGAAAAACGTTGCTGTATGCGCATGATAAGCGAGTCGATCATCGATGGAACCTGGTGAAGTCGAAGTAATCTCGGTAGTCGACATAAACTCATAGCCAGAAAGCTACTCCCCACATAGTAAAGAGGAAGACTACTCAGTAAATCACCGCGTAATTCGTGACCCTTGTAGGTCTCACTACGCTCCTCTCGATAAATTAGGTTCATCAGTCCAGCACCTTCACACTCGAAGTAGTAAAGCTTAAGGTAAATATCTGCCAATAAGAATGCGTCACCTACAAAATCCGAGACGACAAGAAAAACTCTCGTACCACTTGAAGGATGCGCCAGAAATCCAATCCGAAACGTGACTTGGAAGGCATTATACACGTCCAGAATTAGTACGATCAAGTCCCAATAGAGTCGAATGCGCATCTTGTTTTTGTGTTGACCCCAGTTCTCCTTCTCCTCGAACATGCTCGTGCATTTCTCCGTAAATTTCATCAGTGTCGACCTCGATTTGATGTTATCGATCACTGCTTCGAGCGTCAAAGTGTCGAAAATATGCTGTTGCGTAGCTTGCAAACGCAAACTTTCCATCTCAGCGGGAAAATGACCTTCAATCTTTGCAACAAAAGCCGAATATGTGATGACAGAAGCATCCACGACACTAGCTGCGACGACTGTCGTGTTAAAACTTTTCCGCAGTAAAAGCTCGCAAACTCCAAAGCAATCGCCAGCTGATAATGCTCCCACCGGTAAAGTACCGACTCTTTTGCTGAAAATATTGGCGCGTCCATTCACAACGACATACATTTCTTCGCATAATGTTCCCTCCGCAAAAAAAGGGTCACCTCGTTGGAATAATTGGCGTCGAAATAGCCCCGTGAGTTCATACAGTAGACGTTCGTTCTGAGCATCGACAAAGATCGGAACCTTACGTACAGACTCAGCGTGAAGGATACTTGAGATTCTATGACGTAGTTGGGCCGGTAAACCATCAAGAAGCTGCACTTCCGACGTCACTTTTTGTTCGTACATTTGTTGGTGATAGAACTGACGGATTCGCACTCGTACACTTTCAGATATCCGGAAATGCCCCAAAGTTACGTTCACGGAGTTCATTTTCTCGGAATGGTGGTGGCTACTGGCTGTAAGATTCGATATGATATTTGACATAGCACCCACGACCCCGTAATTTATGATACCTCCGATAAAAACCCATACAGCTGCAAAATAACTTTCGAAAGTTGAAAAAGCCACAATGTCACCGTAGCCAACAGTAGTGAGTGCAACGATAGCCCAGTAAATGGAGCGCATATAGGCCATTGTGATAGTGTAAATGGAATGTTCCGGATCTTGTACTTTAAAGGTTGTACCAATTTGGCCATACGCGTCGTACACTGTCCATGAGCAGTTCCCGTGAAGTCCAGCGTCTCGTAAGCAGCGATCACGTGTGTATTCCTCTAGTATAGGTTCAAATTCGGTTTCCAAGACACTGAAACGAGCCATAAGAAACCATAAACAACCAGCCACATGGATCGTTAAAGTCACGTACAACAGCATTGTTCCTGCTTGCTGCATTTTCGACGAGAGGCCTCGAATGTGGCTAAATTCCTGGATAGTTTGTTGTAGGTATCGGGCACGCAACAGCCGGATAAGTCTACTAATCTGGAGCCACATTGTCCATCCATGACCGCGATGTACTACAAATTCGACCACCAGTGGTAACGGGACAATCGCTAGTAAATCAAACCATAAACCGTTCTCTCGATAAGCTTCAAGGATGTAACTTGGATCACTCACTGTAATGAGTGCAAGTTGGTCTACATACGCGAAAAATCGTGCTCGAAGCACAAAATCTACGACAAAAAAAGCCTCAACGAAGATGGATGTTAAGGATTGAAGCGAGTACTTTGACTTGGCACCAAATGGGAAAGTATCAGCGTCGAAAACGCAGTACAACGGGACCTCAAATACCACGAAAACCAGCGAAAATAAGCGCGCATGCTCCCAATATTTTCGGAAACTAGAGCCAGGCATACGCCACGGAATCCGTGGCCGCTTAACACTACGCACATCATTACCATACGTGACGCTATATCGGCCACCGCTGTTGTTGGCATTTACATTGGTCTCTGCATTATCAGCCGATCGACCGAGCATTTTCTTCATTTTCTGCTCTTGTTGATCATGTCGAGCGTGCATGGATCGCATTTCTTCCAAGTGTTGATGTGCATTTTCGCGATAAAACACAGCTAAAGTCTTGTTAAAACTGCGTTGTGGGAGTTTGTACAGATCGCAATAAGTCTGAGCTCTCGCACGTTCCTCCGATCGAGTTGGAAAGAGTAAAGAACCTTCTGCAAAATGGCCCCCAGCCTTAGCAAAAGCAGTCTGTGGGTGTCTAGGACCGTCGAGTTGGACGCTTCCACGTAGCACAAAATACATTCCATCGGGTAGTTTCTCGATAATCCAGTCTTTAGGAGAATAGACACAATATTCGATTCGTAATGCCAACGTGTTGATAAATTCGATGCTCTCTTTCGACAGAAAGGCGACGTCCTGGATCCGCTTAGCCTTTAAAACACTGTATACACTCACTTTTAAGTGTCCTGGTAGCCGCTCGATCGCCTCATCATGATATAATGCATGATGAGTAGCCCATGTGTTTTTGTAGTACCCGAGAACTCCTTCACGTACATTTTCGGGAAAATGTCGAACTCGCATGTACTCCTTTGCACTGTCCACATGGGCCATAAACTCCTGCATCCGAGCGTTTCTATACCGGAAAATAAAGAGGAATGTAGCGAGAACTGCAGTGCTGAAGATGGCACCAATAACTTGAGCGAAAATCGCGTAAAGAGTCTCAACATTTGTAGTCGCTGCGACGTCGTAGAAGCCTGCAGTAACCACAGAACGGGAAGCCCAATACACTGCACGACCGTATTGTCGACCGACATTTGTGCCCACCAGATAGTCTTCGATAGCCCAGCACGTATATCCAGACCCGTCTCCAGTCGGTGAGACCTTTGCAATCCCTTTCGGAACACCATGTGCTCCAGCTCCAGGTATTGTGGTTAGTACAGTGCGAGCTTTGCTACAGAGCATGAAGTCGATACCACACTCCAGATGTGCAACAGCCATATACCCACACGCTATCCAGTGACAAGCAGCAAGTCCCAGCATGACTGTATTGAACAGTACAACGTTGCCTGTATACTCGAGCATCTGGACAATCCTTGAGCCCGTATTCATTTGCTTGAGTTCGCGCATACAGCCAGGTACTCGATACAGTCGCAGTAGCTTCAATATTCTCAGTAGATGCAGAGAATTGGGTCCAAACGCGAATGCTAATAGTTCCAATGGTATCATAGATATCATCTCTAATAATATTGGTCTTTGGATACCGTGATGTCGGTGCCTTTTTGGGATAATTGTGTTTAAGGACCATGCCACTTGCATGGAGTCTCGTATTCCAGAGATGAGGGAAGCTCTACGTCCATGTTGTTTGTTGAGGCCTTGATTAGAGCGTTGTCGGCGCGCTCCAATAGCTCCAATGGCATCTGCAGCGACGGCTGCTTGTTCTCGACGTTGAGCGGCGAATATATCCATTAGACTCGTAAATCCTGCGGTATCTGCGAGGACGTCTAGTACTGTGAATACTGTGAGTTCTACTGTCCAACCGGAACTCCAATCATCTGTAGTGTAGGGGTCAAATAGGAAGCCGATGCGAAGCGGGACGGACACGAAGACGTAAAGTAACTCCAATATGACCATCCCCATAAACCAACCGCGCTTTCTGCGACGAAAGAAGTAGAGAATTCTTGCTAGAGGACCTCTTTGTTGGGTCTGTTGCCATAGTTCACCGTTTGCTGCAGAGGATACAGCTCGTTCTCTCACGGTCGACATCTTCGTCATATTGAGCTGAAAGCTTCCGTTGATTATAGAGATACATCGTGCGAATATAGTTCGACTGCAGGGGGTTACAGCAAAGTCAACTAAAAATGGCGATGCGGGTTCCAATATTAGATTTGCCACTTAAAACGGAAAAGTAAGTACTTTGAGGATGATTAACCCATTGGGAAACACTTGTTATTATTTTTTTCCTGTAAAGTACAGAATATTTAGCTAGATCAGTTTGGTTACAACACCATTGTCGGGCTAGAGTAAAGCATCACGATGCTTGCGGCCAAGTACCGACAAGTACCAGACACTCGAATAAATAGCGATTCCATTCGGCACTACTTCGCTAATTAAAAGCGAGTAACTATCGCTCCATCTCTCCCTATTATTGTATACTTAAATAAGTAGTGTATTCGTCCTAAGTATCCGAAACCAAGAAGTGAACGATCTTCACCACCGTATATTTCTCAATTTGATACAAGCAATCGCGTGTATTCATCCGTTTGTTACACCGCAGCTGTGCTCTCATTTTGGTTTAGTAAAGTTGACTTGAGTTATTTATGTCTTCATTTTGATTATAGAGATCACGAATATTATCATCAGATTGAAACATTTTAGTTGCGAAATTTTTCTACAAATTGAAGGCTAATTGCAAAGAATAAAACAACCGCAGGGTAATACACACAACGACAAAGCTATCGCAGAAAGCTGCTATTCAACATGTAGTGCCAGACGGTCAATTAAACGTGTTCCAGTTCGTTTAAGCGCAGCGGGATTTCATGCCACCACTTGTCTGTTTATGTAGGAGTGCACATTCGTTGCACGCATCGGAACAGAAAACACTTATAACCTTGATCTTAAGAAATTAGTCCAAATCGATAAGTACTTGATACGTATTGTAACGAGTGGTTGCGAGATATATTCAAATCTCAAAGTTATGTTTATGTTACAAGCTAAGCAGTTAGAAATCTCACGAGTTTTCCATCCAAGAGAACTGCAAGGTGAAATCGACACCTAAATCGACATTTGCAGGTCAAGCTGTTAGATAGTTGGACTCGTGCCGTTAGATAATATAAATAACTTACCGAAATGATCTACTCGAAAAGCTAGAATAAGTAGCATCCACATGATCACCTTGCCTTGAATGCGTACCACCTGCGTCTCTAAGACGAAGGCAAGGTGGTAAAAAGCTTGCAGACCATACCGTCGATAGAGCATGAGTGCGAGAAGCGCAAAGGATAGGAACTCGAGATAACCAAAAATGAACACAGACTTGACTGTTTCTCCTACATTTTCAGGAGTAAGACCGAGCAGCTCGCTGTGGTATCGAGCGCTTGGAAGATATATCATCATAACCACGAAGTTGGCGTAGAACATTGCGATGCTTGTGTGTAAATACCCGACAAGTACGAGGCACTCTGAAGTAAATAGTGTTTCCAAACCTTCTTTGAGTACATTTGAACGTCGGTTTACAGCCGAGTTCTGCCGGGGATACTTCATCTCTATTGATTGATCTTCTGTAGGGGAAATAACGGCTGTCTCAATGGGTCGGATACTAGTTCTGCGATGCCACCAATATATTCTAGCGATAGCTCGTGAGATCAATGCACGACGTTTTAATGCCATTCGAGAGATTCTTCTCTGCTGTACCCTTTCCAGATTATTTATACATTCCATGCTAGTTCGAGATAGCCGGTAAGGGAGGCATGAGCGCATACGAATTCCACCGAGGTGTTGGTTCTCTAACCTCTTAGAGCTTGTACAGATTATCCGAAGAGCAGTGACAAGAGATCCGTTATTGTCACACACTCCTGCAGCTGTCCGTGCTCGCGCCGACATTGTGCGACTTCGTTTATGTAGCCCGTACAACATCAGGGCAGACTGTGCTACATCCACAGCAATGACGATGACTATGGTAGTAGTTGAACGTGTGCGCTGCACGCAGGTGGCGAGATATACAGCATGGAAGAAGTCCACTGAGAAGGTTACCGCTTTAGGCATCATATCCTCCATACCCGTCAAAGCTAAAGAGATGATGTACTTCATGACAATCTTGATAATCGATAGTAGCAGGATTACTGGGAACTCGTATCTTGTGTTTGCTGCTGCGTAAAATATCACTTCGTAAATGGGATATACCACTGGCATCAACATCTGCGTGCAAATGTAAAGGGCGAACGTGGTCAGTTCCTTAGGGTGATGGAGAATATCTCGAATACACTGTGTTCCAGCAATAAGGGAGAACCATACTAGAAGTAGTAGAAAGAAGACAGGGATTGTCGATAAAGCAAAGAACGGAATCGGAAAGCCAACACAAGCTACAATACCCATGGACGCAACTGGATAAGTTAAGGCCTGGCACCCGAAGAGTAACACAGATTGACGCAAACGGAATACCGTGGATCGTATGATTACTTTCGCCTGATTCACAATCGCCATACTTACAACGCCCGACAGAATACCGACACGAGCCCAAAAACCATAGTTCACACGCCAGCCTTTACGTGGGTCATTGAGCGGTATCAGTTCTTGAGAAATCACCAGTATGACCATAGGAATCAATGTTCCACATACCACAAAAGCCACACGTAATGCTGACGTTTTCTCCATGTATTCGTCAAGGGCCAATAATCGCTCAATGAAGTACTTATTTCCTCGATAGCTCACTTGCAAGGACTGCCAATGATGATACAACTTTGCAGCCCCCCTTAGGATGAGTTGAATGCCATTTCTCGCGGAAGAGCAGCGCATCGAGTTAACTGGTGTTTGCCGATGCGTAGGACGATCGACTTTTGACAGTACTGAATGAAGAGTTATTTTTACATGACGCGTTCTGTTTCGTGTTATTATTCTTATAGAACTCCAAATATTATTAGCCTCCAAACGATTACTATTAATACTGTCGGTTTTTGAGTCCGATTTGATTACGATTGGTGGTGTCACATGCCGAAGCACCGTCAACACTTAAAAATTGCGTCAGCTTTATCACTGACGCGATCTTCAGTTCGAAACCACTCGTTTTCACAAGTTGCAGCAAGACATTTATGAAATCACGGACATCTCGAGTTCCGAACGTTGACTACGTGTGATGGACTCGAACTACACGAAATTTTGAGAAGCACATTACAATTTAGGCTAGAGTTGGTTATTCCCACACTGATCTTGCGAGACAAATGAAGAAATACCATGTGTGCATTTTCTCGCGAAAGTTGCATTTGTGCCCAGCGTATGTTGTCCATTCAATTAGATTAGCCTGAGTGATGTTCACGTCAGTGGTTGAACGACGTCAACACTGGCTATTGCCATACCACTAGTCCGATTGCGCGGTTTTCGCTGGTCTCACAATTCAATTCATCTCCGAGTCAACACGCAACGATGGGCGAACAACTGCTTCCCAAGCACTCATCTGGCATCAATGGGTCTCTTCGAGAGACCCATTCTCTCCGAGACTCTCTGGTGGCCATTGAAACACTTCAGAGTGGTGCGAGCAATCCTGTAGAGCCGGAACCGAAGCGCATAGAGGAAGCTCGCGAGCTTTTCAGGCTAATCTTACCGGTGGTACGTATCGAAATCATGGCTCTGAGGTTTAAAACTACATACTTACCCTTTCGTCTGTTTGTTAGATGGGAACCACGATGCTCGAGTTCCTTCCTGGCTTCGTTTCCATCTTGTTGGCTGGTAACATAGGAGGAGCAAACTCGCAGCATTACGTTGACGCAGCGGCAATTTCCGTCATGGTATGTAGAGCTGTCTGGTGATGAACGTGTGGTATGATTTAACGTGTGTATTGCAGCTTTTGAACGTCACAGCACAATCACTTGGACTGGGTCTTGCATCCGCGCTAGATACGCTTTGCTCTCAAGCCTATGGCGCCAAACGGATCGACAAGATCGGAATCTACTTCCAGACGGGGGTGGTGGTTCTCTCCATCGCTCTCATTCCCATGCTCGTGGTCAACTCGTTCGCTGAACCTATCCTCAATTTGCTTGGTCAGCACACGAACGTCACATACTTGACTCGCGACTTTTCTCGTCTGATGCTTCCTGGACTGCCGTTCCTCTTCCTTTACGAGCTCGTGCGGAAGGTGATGCAGTGTCAAAATGTCGTCAAACCGCTAGTCGTCATCGCAGTTATCGGAAATCTGGTCAACCTTGGTGCTGGTTATGGACTTGCGTACCACACGTCGATGGGATTCAACGGTATTGCTGTTGCTCGATCGCTGGGCAATATCACACTCACGTTTCTGCTCGTACCGTACTTCATGTGGCGGCCAAACCAACTTCGAGACTGGTGGGGCCACGGGTGGAATATCAAGGCCGCTATGAACTATGTGAACCTCTTCGTGCGAATTGGTTGTCCGGGAATGGTTATGATGGCTGTCGAAGTTTGGGCCTTCGAAATCCTGGCAATTCTCGCTGGTAATCTACCAGACAGCGTCGTGGCCCTGTCAACGCATGCTGTATTAATGAATATCACCGCCATCGCCTATACCGCCTTCATGGGCGTCGCAGTTGCTGCCTGCATTCGAGTGGGCAATTGCTTGGGCGCTGATCAACCAAAGAAGGCGAAGATGGCTTGCTACTTGGCCCTAGCCATCACCGTGGGGATCTCCGCGGTGTTTGCAGTGCTTCTGTTCAGTCTTAACGACGCCATTCCTCCCCTGTTTCTTAATGATGACGAGAGCATTGATCTAGCCTCCTACATCATGGTCTTCTGGTCGCCATTCGTAATCCCCGATGGTCTCAACGCTGTCATGCAAGGAGTCTTCAGAGGAGCTGGCAAGCAGAAACAGGCTGCCATCACCAACGTGATCGGGTACTATGGCGTAGGTATCCCGCTTGGAGCCATCCTGGCGTTCACGGCTCACATGGGTGTTGACGGTTTGTGGTGGGGAATTGGCGTTGGCATCGCAGCGACATGGCTGTCGCTGACATTTTTAATGATGACGTACTGGCGTTGGGACAAACTCGCAATTGAAGCCCGTCAGCGTACCGCGCAGTAACTTGTTCGTGCAAAAATCTAGTTTCGCCTCTTGATACCCGAGATTATGACGGCGACGTAATACATCTCACGAAATAACTCTCAAGAACTAATGCCGTGGCTAATACAGGGAAGCTCCGGATTGTACAGGTTGAACCGAGCTTTACTAAGTGCCTCCTATTTTTACTGGTAGTGATTATAAAAGAAAACGCAACTTTTGTTTTAATTCATAGCCACCTAATATTTAAACGAATGTGATGGTTCTATTTTTAATGTTTGGATGGCCTTCGTCTCAACACATCTCCTGCGATTGCCTCGCAGCCACAGCGTCTGCTGTCGCGGTACTTGGTTGAGCAAACGTAGGCCGTTGTGGCACGTGCTGCTGTATCGAAGGAAAAGGTGGATTGAGGTAGCAGCATAAATTGACCCAATTTCTAGGTCTTTAAGGCGCTATGCCTTATCCCAATCATATTTGGGTCATTTATAACATTTTAGTTTAGCCCGTTCTTTCAAGCAACGGTGATTGGATTTTGATGTCGCCCCCGACTCCAGGAGTCAAGAGTAGGACAGTAGTCACAACACGTAGGAGGTTATCGCAGCTCATAGTTTGACTCTGGGTTGAGGATCTTGAGAGGAAATTGCGGAGTGAGCTGTCAGTTTTACCAATGTATCGATTCCCAGTTTACGGGATCCAATACAATTATTACGTGCGATTTGCGCTCCTCAGACTATCCGACGTATAGATTGGTACGTTTCGAAGAATATAAAAAAACTAACGTGAAACAAACGTTTTCTAGTCGGAGGATTTCGTGACTATGCGTTTTAAAACCAATTGAAAAGCTGATATTTAAGATACATTATGCACATAAAAAGGACATTGAGTGTTGACACCAGCATCGTGCGGATGCACAATGTTGAAGTGCGTAGCAAAATGACGGGGTTTTAAACCAATAAATAAAGTTTTAACGTTTTTGTCAGTTTGATTCGCGATTATACGAAGATTACCAATCCATAATACGACGCCAGATTCCAGATATATTACATAAAATATGTGATGTTGCTGAATATCCGGACAGAGTCCCTTCTATTTCGAATAACACAGACAGCACTACATGTATCGCTATAGCCACTACACGATGTTTCATCATTCCACGCAGGAGCGAATTACCATAGCTAGTGTTCTTGTTTACATCCCAGTGATTTTCTAATGATAAAAATTCCACAGTACAGTTTGTTATGGGAGATTAATGGATTACATCATATTAGTAAAGGTGCTAGTTATATGTGAGTAATTTCTACTGACTTCTGAGTAAAGTTCTAGCTTTGGATTGCATTTTGCTTTGCAGATACAGCGTTTTTGCAAGGCACTGAACTCTGAGAACCGGCAAATTGAACCCTCACTCGTGTCTACTACAATATTTTTCCTCTACAATCAAGCGATGTCTCGATATTCCTTTCTAGTATAGCTCTCCAAAATTTCGATGTGTAGGGCGATTCTAAGATTCAATACGCTTTCCAGCTTTAATCTTATAGTTATCTGCCGTGCCGTGGTGACGGATTGGACGTGCTACCTGCGATTTGTTCCCGATGCATTTGAAGATTGGCTACATTCGTGTGGATCAAGGCCTGTCGTCTGGTTCGGATGTGATCCAGCGACACACCCTACGCGTCAATGGATCCTGGATCACCTTGATGAATACGAAGGCGAGGATAATAAACTTGTGGAGGTGCGCGGAAAGGCATTTTGCCGTACTGATGCGGACTGTAAATCGTGGGCAGGTCCACGTTGTATCGTGCCCACTAAATCAAAAGCGGTCTCTTTTGGTCCTCCTGTCGTATTGACAGCATGCATTGGATCCCTGTTTCTCGTGCTTGGAACCGCTTCATGTGTTGCGATTTGTTTTGCTCGGAAGAAAACCATGGAGGCCATCAAAACCGAGCGCAAAGTCAAACAGCAGTATGAGCTTATGCGACGCCAGTCGAAGAACACATTGGTGGTCATAAACAACTTTGGTCACGTCGGCTGAACACTGTTAGGTCATGTGTTAGATTTAATAGTCCACGTGGAATACATATGAACAAATGGCATTGGTCATGCCGATGTACAAGAAGAAACTTCTAGACTTTTCCTATCGATATATCTAAGAGAAACTTATTGAAGAGAATTCTTGACTTACACATCGATTTATCTAGCAAATGCCATCAAGAAATTTCCATCTTTCCAAATCAGAAACTGCTACACCCATTAAGCCAGAGAAAACAAGACATTGAGATGAAAATACGGAAGGAAAGCTCTCATTAAAGCAAACAAAACAAGAAGTCGTGTTCATTGTCTGATTGACTGCCGAAGGGCAAATTGAGCGGGGGCACTTGTCCTAAGAGGGTTGTCGCGGTACTTCCGTTAATTCCCCGTCAGACAATGCAAGGTACGAGCCTTTATTGAGTATGCAATTTGAGGTGTATTATCTAACTGTAGCATTGCTGTTCGTTATATTCCAGTCCACCACCGTAGCTTAATGGAAAAGCTCCCGAAAGGGGTGATGGGGGTCCGATTCCTCCTGGTGGTTATGTGTTATTTTTGTGGCAGGGAATTTCAACGGACGTCCGGATTTGACGACTTTTCGAATTGGATTGTCGGTTTTGAAACACCAAGCCTTCAAGGAACATTGTTCTTCCGTCCATTTTACCTATTCGTGCCCAAGATCTATATTCCAGCCTTTGGACCGCTATATGGACGATCAATTATGGCTAGACCTACAACACGTCCTCGGAAAGATCGTCAGAGGCGTAGATTTTCGGCGACAAGTCGTCGTACTGTACGTGAACGCCAAGGAAGTGTTGATTCTGCCGAGTTGGATGATATCAACCCTAGCCAATTGCGAACCTTGCTGCAACAAGGCCCCGAGGATCTTCACGGTATGACTACTTTGGTGACTACTCCCTTGGCCTCTTCGGCTTTACCAGCCCCGTCTGACAGCTCTACCAGGGTGAACACGGTAGGAACATCGAGAGCGCGAGATGGAGACACGAAAAGATATTTTCAAGGCTACGAGTATACACGTGCAAATTCAACATCGGTCAAGATCACTTATCGATGCAGCTTTTACCGACCTTCAAAACGCTGTCCTGGCACTCTTGTCTTCTATGCGAATACGATGACGTTTGATGTGGACAATATGGTTTCTCATACGTGTCGTAGTGGCACGTCTCGTGGCCAACCAGTGATGATTCCGGCTATATCTGTCACAGAGGAGATGAAGGCTTTCGTCGACAGTCTTATCGAGGAGGACATGGTGGCCAAGGCAATATGGACAGGAACCTACACAAAATTTTACTCGGCTTCTGCACGTGTCGTACGCGGGCTTTCACACAAGCTAGTGTTCAATCGTGTTTCCAATGCCAGAGCCTCAGCCTACGGCTCCAATGTCTTAGCTTTGCTGGAAAGTCCAGCTCTAGCCAGTCAAGCATGATATCGTCGGGTTTCTGCAATTTCACAATACATGGCACGATGATAACAAGGCAAAAGAAGGGAAACCTGGAATCGAACGATTGATAGGGTGGGCGCATCCAGAATTGCGCAACTTACTTCGTTACGATGGAGTTCATTTGTTTGTCGACGGCACCTTTCGGTGCGTTCCCAAAACGTATCATCAGTTCGTTACTTTGATGATGTTTGATCCACTTACCGATTTGTTTTTACCTATATTTTTTTACGCTGGCAACAAACAAAACGGAGGGTCTGTACGTGAAAATGTTCAAGTGCATTGAATTCGCGGTCGGAAAGCAGCCCAATCCTGTGGACGTAGTGTGTAACTTTGAAGCTGCTCTAATAAACGCGATCCAGGATCAGTATCCGTCTACACGCCTTATTGGATGCTTGTTTCATTTTAAACAGGCGTGTAGACGGAAAATGAAAGAGTATGCGATTCCAGACGAGGAAGTAGGTGTGGCAATGACTTTCGGAGTTCTAGATATGCTGACAGTAATCCTACCCGGTAAGATAGCTGTGCAAGGAGTTGCGTGGGTGAAAGCAAAGATTAAAACAAGACTGGATGCAAAAGACCTGCCATACTCGCGGAACAAGTGGAAACAGTTTGGCGTTATTTCACGAGAACGTGGGTCGACATGTATCCACCCGATCTCTGGAATATCCATGGTGTTCAGAGGAAGATAGTAAACCGGACCAACAATCCCCTCGAGAGAGTTCATCGTGAACTAAACGCGAGAATGAAGCCTCATCCAAATCTCGATCGTTTTGTTCGAGTTATCGAAGAAATGGCGCGTGAATACGTGGTACTTCGCAGAAGTATCATCACAGGTGATGCTACAGCTCCCGTGCGGTCGAATTTGCGCTTTCCTAGGGCAGTTGCCTTACCAGATATGGAAAATGAAGAAGACTCTGACAGTGAACCCGATATTGTAGATGTTATTGAGGTGTTTCAGGATGATGCTAGCTCAGGTCTCTCAGACGACGAACTAGGCATATTGTACAACACTTCACTTGACTATGAAGAGGAGGAAAAGTGTGAGTGATACGTGTTGTGGTTGACCAGACATTAGTATCATCGGTCTAATACATAAATTGCATTTACTCTGTATTCTCTACATGACCAAGCGATTTGGTCACGTGGTCTAACTTGCTATTAATGGTGTGACCAAAGTTGTTTTTGACCACCAATATTGATTACCGACGCCAGTCGAGTCAACATCTCGAAAGTGCTTGGTGTCAGAGTAAGTGGCGAAGGATGCTCGAAAATTCAGCATGCGTTAAGTTTAACGGAGGCTTTTGCATCCAATTGATCCGCCTATTGATACCAATACCTCCCATGCTTTTGCACTGTTTCTGTTCTTGCGTCCACCATTTAATGAAGCACTACGTAGTTTCGAGATAATGCAATTGGTGTGCGAATAGGAGAAATCTCCAGCTGGACCAGTGCACAATGAGTGTACTGTCAAATCGTGCCGAGGCTACATGCTTCTTAGTGAGCCACGATTGGAAAAACTCCGAGAACAGCGAGACTTTGCAGCAACTAAAATAAATTCGTTTAGAGGTTAGCATCTTATCGCGTTGCTTGTAAACGTTTCATGGGCTTCGCTTATCTTTCGAACTCAAATGTTCTTGCTGGCCCTGGCATATACCGTTTCGAAATGACGCAACATTTGGAATTTGGAACCCAATTCCTCACTTTTCTCGATTGTGTCCATCATTTTCGCTTTGTGGTTGAATCCAGCTTCTTGAGTTCCTCGATCCCGAACTTGCGGGAAAAGCCCAGCGCCTTGCGTAGCTCCTTGGGAGTAATTTCCGCGTCAAGAATCTTCTGCAGTTTAGCTTTTTGTTAAATAAGTTCCTTAGCCTTTGTCACTTTCTCGTCGTCGACCACTTTCTTTACAGCATTGACGAGTGTGCCGAATCCCACCCTCTCTTCCTCTTTACTCGAGTATCCTCGCAGAAGTCGGCCTTCGACAGAATCCATAAAGTTGGCACTAGTCTGTTTCACCAATAACGGAGGTTCACGGACCAGATTCGTCTCATCGGGGACCGCTACCACCATGGCAGCATTGTGGAGTATTCCCAGTACAAAGAGTAGCAAAATAAGTCGAGCGCATAGCTGACAACAAGTCGTGGAGCGAGAAATTTGTCGAATGACATATAGTTGTGGTCTGGCATTTCTATACGGTGTTCTGACCGATGTCTCTGCACTCCCTACGAAACACAGTCTTTTTGGTAGCAAATCATATGCACCCATACATTTTTGGGTTGTGTTTTATTTATTTATTAAAATTATTGATGAGCAGAATGGACGAGATAACCAGCTATTAACGTCAACGCTCACTTTGCACCACCGATACTGTACTAGCACGAACTTGTTTAGTCTGGGAGCTACTACAACAGCACTCCAGGATTGAGTTTGGTAGTGTAAACCCAATCCTGGAGTACAAGGAATGACTTCATCGCCAAGAAATCAAAACGAAGTTGAGCATCAAACTACACAGCAATTGGGCCCATGCCGGCAAGAATAAAACAACACAAGATTCGAAGTTCTTTTAGGCTCACTCACCTACATCAATTCCATGACTTTATCGTTTCTAGTAAGCATAAATAGGGATCTACAGGAATGTGTCAGCTCAGCACCATTGGTTGGGATCCGAATCTGTGAAGACTAGATAGCTAAATTTCAGTGCTTCTTCGAGCTAAGTACAGCTTTGTGTACTTAGTACGAAATTAGCCTTACTCCTTTTTGGAATAAGTTCAAAATGTGCGCTAGACGCGTACACCGTTTCCAGTCCACACCAGAACGATATCTAGAATGCACGGCTGTAGCCGTGAAAATGATTTTGGGTTGGTCATTTTTCATGTTAATTTGGGGCCACTAGACCAAAAAAAGATATTTGCTTTAGCGCAATCAGGATTCAATCTCGAATGCAGCCGGATAGTGGTAAATTGGTTTGATATCGGTAGACACTAGGTTGTGAGAGGAGTGACGTGTGATATAAGTAATGTTTTTACATGCAGTTACGTAAAACTCGCTGTTGGTGCTGATACGGCGCGTCCAGGGACCGTTTTGTTACTGTTGAGCGGCGATAGCGCCGTTTGTACCAGACGACACCACGGCGACAACTGGCGGTTCTCGGGTAGGCCGGATTCATACCTGTATCCTCCAGTGGGGCCTAGACGCGGACAGTGCTGGCGTGATGCAGGAGCGACGAGGACGCGTGCCTTCGCGCGCCAACCGAGGATACAGCAGCAGCGCTGAATGGCGGCACAGGCCGCCATGATCGACTGGACGAAGGCACGCGGCAGTAACAGTCCTTGGAGGTGGCTTGCAGGACGAAGGTTCTGGAGCTGGAGCTGTGGTCTCGAGCGCTGCCGGTAAGGACAGCTTTGAACTCTAACTCTAATCTCACTTCACATTTGACCTTTTCGAGCCCATTTGCCATAGTTACCCGCGATTCTTACGCCAAAGTTCTGTGGATTTATCCAGAGTCCAACCCAGGGTTGTAAAAACATTATAATTCTCTGATTACCAGTACCTAGTCTCAACTCGATATAGATACATTATCGTTGTCTATGTATTGGTTTCGAAATATACACCAACCTTTTGGATATTTATGTTAGGTGACACATCCGGAGGAGTTTACATATATATAGAATTCCTCGCAACTTTTGTGTTACATTCGTAGTTCATGCGATCCATCGTGAGCCCATCGGAATTGACAGCCATCCATCAATCGCCATAGCGAAGTTGAGATCCATTTACCAGCTTTACCTCGCATTATTGGGGCTGCAAAGCGGTTCACTGAGGCGTTAAGCGCCTACAGCAGGGTGTGGCGCCGAGCGTAAAACAAAACTGCTTCCAACATGCTTAAGCCGCAGTATTAATGCGTGGCTTCAAGCCGCTAACGTTGTCATGACCACACTTTCTATTACACATCAATAACTGTCCAGAACAATTATGAATTATATTGAATTGGGTTGGTCGATGCCTTAGCGCTGCGTGAGATTCCCATTACAGTTTCATCCTGCTCGCTGCGTGCGACGTCTTCGTGTCAGCACACACCTTTTTTTTTATTATTATCCTTCTAATCCTTATTTCCAGATAATTTAATTTCTTATGATGTAGAACAAAGGATAGCTCGCTAGTAACTGTGTGTTCCGCGTTTGCTTCCCGCTGAATTACCAAAACAGAAAGATGGACAGGATCCACCTTTCAGCTGTTCCCATTTGGATGAATTGCGGAACAGGTCCTGCATCTACATACTAGTTTGCTCCAACATTGGCTGACTCATTTATCCGGAGGCTAGTTATAATATTAACAAGGATATATTTATTAGATCCCCTGTGACGGAGACTACATCACTAGCTGCATTGTAGTCGGCTGTAGTTCTCTGTATGTCCGTTGCTTCGTGATTATTGGGATCGCAATATAAAACTACGCACAATACAAACCACACATAGCAACAGAGCAATCGTTTGCATATGACTCTTTTCAACGGGGTTACGCGCAAGTAGCTACATGTAACCACTTGGTTTTGTGGGTAAAATGAGTGAGCCTCCTCTCCGTCGGCTCGTCCAAGTCAACACTGTCGTCACGGCTTGATGTATCGTCGAGGAGCCGTCGAAAGTGTCTTGTCTTGGTGGACGGCAAGGAGCTGGGCGTATGGTCACCGGCACACGGATACTAAATACTGTAGCACCTATGCGGAGTTCGAGGAGGAGCTTAGGCAAGCGTTTCAGCCTCCTTGTACTTGTAAACGACGCACATCCGACGCATATCATGCCATCGACAATATTGCGAGTAGGTCGTTAATTCGAGAATTAAGTAACTACGGCGATGCAAGCTTCATTACACTTGACTACGTTACTGGATTCATCCATTTAGAATTGAAAGCAGTGTCAAAGTCAACAATATATTTGAAAGGTGAGTTATCTATCACGTTCGTGGCTTGTTCGAGACCAGTTTACAATCGCCAACTGCCATGACTTGTAACGCTTACCTGGCATCAATGCGGTAGCAGCTGTAACCAAACTCAAAACTTGTCCAGGGCACTCCAAAGGTTTCAAGGGATAGGACCATCTAGTCGACGTCAGGACGGATTGAGTAAACTTTGTAACCAACACGTCGTTCTCTTATGCCACACAATATCTTTTCAATCGGTTTCGGAGGTGAAACGCGGACACAACGATCGGTCCCGAGCTGGTTGAATTCAGGTTAGCCTAGAAGGTCACTTACAGGACACTACGTAATCTCCATGGTCCTCACTTAGAGAAGTTGAATCGTCCATTATATTTAGCAGACTCGCGTGGTACGGGTGATGATATCAGCGAAAGCGAACTTCGCGAGGTTTGTTTTGACGCTAGTTTTAACACGCGAGAAAGGAACTGTGCATGAGTTCCTCGACAATTTTGTGTGATTTGGGGGACATGTCGTCAGATGATGAAGGTATTATAGTTTGTGGGCTAGCTTGAATAGAAGTTAAAAGTTTCACACGAATTCTTGCACCTTTGATTCGTTGGTCTTTAAGTTGACTTCGGTTTTTGCTGATATTACGGCAAGCAATGAACCACCAATGATACCAAACAAACGATTCCAAGGGTTTTATCAGTTGGACGATGCTCAACTCTCTTCAGTCCTATCATAACGGAGCGTAGACTTGAGTTTACATCAATCCAAAATAAAGTCACTGTCGTGAACCTACAGGTGCTGCAGAGGTGCACATACCCGTGTGGTAAGCGCTTAAGAAATTTGGAGAATGTGAGACGGATGGAAATGAACCAATCAGCTGCGAGGG